CCAGGTACACATGTATGCACATATACACATATATGTGCACATTCATTGTTTAAATAAAAAGTCACTTTAACCCTCTGAATCTCCAGTCCTTCTCCAATAAGGACATCATGTGTTTGGGTATTAGAGAAAGGAGAGGTGGATGGAGTTGGATATTATTAGAAAGTTAGACCTCATCTAAACCTAGAGGGAATTCAAATTTTACTTCCCACCATCACAATAGCATCAGGAAATGAAGCACTATAAGACAAAAGAATTAATCAATTTGTACAAACTAATGAAGTAGGCAATCCTAAGGGACTGGGAAAAAGTATCAAGCATAGTAGCAGCTACATCCAGGCAAAATGAGGTCAGAAATGCATATATGTAGGTATATACATATGTATGCATGTATGCATATGTGTATTAGGTATTTGATAATAAGATGAAACATTTTTTCTTCCTCAGAGCATCTAAGATTGTTTTTGGTTGGTGCATAGATAAATTATTTTATTTAAATAGTTATATATTTATTTATTACATATTAGAAAAAGTATATACATAACAAATTGTAGTGGGCTGAATGGTGTTCCCCCAAAAGATATGTTCATGTCCTAATCCCCAGATTAGGGGATTCTCCTGGATTATTTGGGCAGGCTCTAAATTCAATAACAAATATCCTTATAAAAGACACACAACTACAAATAGAACTACCATATGACCCAGCAATCCCACTACTGGGCATATACCCTGAGAAAACCATAATTCAAAAAGAGTCATGTACCAAAATGTTCATTGCAGCTCTATTTACAATAGCCAGGAGATGGAAACAACCTAAGTGTCCATCATCAGATGAATGGATAAAGAAGATGTGGCACATATATACAATGGAATATTACTCAGCCATAAAAAGAAACGAAATTGAGCTATTTGTAATGAGGTGGATGGACCTAGAGTCTGTCATACAGAGTGAAGTAAGTCAGAAAGTGAAAGACGAATACCATATGCTAAAACATATATGTGGAATTTAAGGAAAAAAATTGTCATGAAGAACCTAGGGGTAAGATAGGAATAAAGACACAGACCTACTAGAGAACCGACTTGAGGATATGAGGAGGGGGAAGGGTAAGCTGTGACAAAGTGAGAGAGTGGCATGGACATATATACACTACCAAACGTAAAATAGATAGCTAGTGGGAAGCAACCGCATAGAACAGGGAGATCAGCTCAGTGCTTTGTGACCACCTAGAGGGGTGGGATAGGGAGGGTGGGAGGGAGCAAGACGCAAGAGGGAAGAGATATGGGAACATATGTATATGTATAACTGATTCACTTTGTTATAAAGCAGAAACTAACACACCATTGTAAAGCAATTATACTCCAATAAAGATGTAAAAAAAAAAAAGACACACAGAGGAGACACACATAGAAACTCAGATAAGAAATCAATATGAAGAAGCATGCAGACATTGGAGTGCTGAGGCCACAAGTCAAAGAACATCTGCATCCACCAGAAGGTGTAAAAGGCAAGGAACGGATTCTTCCCTAGAGCCTTGGGATGGTTTGAGGCACTCAAAACACCTTGATTTTGAACCTCTGGCCTCTAGAACTGTAAATTTCTGTTGTTTTTAGCCACCCAATTTGCAGTAATTTGTTGTGGCAGCCCTAGAAAACTAATACCCCACATCAAACCCAAAATTCTCCAGACTGCTTAGGACAAAACTAATATAGGTATGTATTTATTTTTACTGATCTAATTTTTTAAGTAAGTAAATAATATTGATGATAAGGATATGGCAGAAATTGTGAAAGTGGTACACAAGTAACTGAAGTTTGGGAGACAAAGAATATCACTGTGTAGATGAGATATTTACATGAAGCTCTTGACAATTAGAAAACAAGTAATAAGCAGAGCCACATGAGTGACTGATACAGATAATTTAGCATTCCAGGAGTTCAGGGCACTAGAGATTAGTGAGAGTTGGGGTTATCAATGAAAGTTTTTTATGGAAGAGATGAAATTAGAATTTGGGTCCTACAGAAAGTGTGGGATTTGGTAAATTAAACAGGCTGAATGAAACACATTCCAGAAAGAAAGAATGGTATGGGAAAATGTGTCACTGAGAACCATTGAGAAATGAATGACCCATTTATGTAATATTATAGAAACATTGTTAATTTTCCTGGGTATATTAGTATTGATGTAATTATGTAGGAGAATGTCATTATTTGTAAGTGATGCATGATGAATTATTTAGGCTTGAAGTTTCTTGATGCAAGTTACTTTCAAAGGTAATAAGTGAGAAAGAGAGAGAGAGAGGGAGAGAATCACAGAGAGAGAGGCAGAGAAAGAGAGAGAATATATTCAACTATGTGAAAATATGTGCCAAAATGTTAACAATATTAAGTTGGAGGGGGGAAGATATGTATGATACAATATGAACCTTAAATATGCTCATACATTTTTTCCAAGAAATCCTACTTCTGGGAAATAATCAGAAACCATAAACAAAGGGCAGGTGACAAGCAAGTACTCATTCATTATATGGTATGGTGATGTAGGAATTCAAAGAAGTGAGAGCAGGATGTGTATACTGAGCTAGACATCCATCCACCAATCCTACCTCATGACATAAACAAATCATGTAATGAACCAAACTAGGAGGCTTCTGCCCACTAAGATGTTGCCAGCATTGTACTGTTATAGAACACAAGCTCTGGGCCTGGGACATGGTTAGTGTTTTCTGGTCATGTACCACAAGTACCCTAGCTTTACTAAAAAACAAGATATCTTGGAAATGGCAAGAAACAAACAAAACAAAAAATGCTTAGATTATCTACTATCCAGAATTTTCTATACATTGCACTAATTTCAAAGTGACCTCAAATTTTGGAACCTTACTCTACTTAACACATGGAAAAACATTTTTCGAATTGTATTTAGGTGTACTGAGATTTCAAAATGAGATAGCTATGCATGCTTGACAACATTTCACTGAATTTTTTTATTACAAGTTTAATTGATTTTTATCTAACACTTATACTCAGCTTCCTCTTAGTATTTACTACAACAAAGCACCAGCAACCAGCAGAAATTTTGCAATAATTAGCAACTTTTGACGTGCTAATAGTTCCTAAATGGCAACAGCTACAAGTAAGGTAAATAAGACATTGCATTGGATTTAATGTCATTAAAACAGTATAAGGGCATCTCATCCATATGCACATGTAACAAACAAATTCAATTGTACACCAAAGGCAAAGCATTTAATGATTAAAAACATTTTTTTTCTAAAATATGACCCCTAAATGTCAGCCAGATACTTTATCTGGTGACTTAAGTAAAGAAACAGATCAGTACTGGATACACAAAACTGTATGCTCAATTTTACAGGCAATTTAAGGGATTTTCAAGGATAATTTTGACTGTGTTTGGTTTTCACTTATGCAATAACATTAGAACTCAACCCTGAGCAAGATGGGACTTCAACATCTAACACAGAGTGCTTAGCTGTAAAAACCAGGTAATCTGTTTTGAATCCTTGTTCGGGAATGCCCAAGGTCACAACTTTCTTATCTGTAAAATGGGAACATTAAGAATACATATCTGTGATGGTTAATTTTATGTGTCAACTTGGCTGGGCCAGGTGCCCAGATATTTGGTCAAACATTATTCTGAATGTTTCTGTGAAGAAGTTTTTTTGGGTGAGATTAACGTTTAAATCATTGAATTTTGAATAAAGCAGATTACCCTCCATAATGTGGGTTGGCCTCATCCAATCACTTGAAGGCTTCAATAAACAAAGACTGATCTCCAAGGAAGAACAAATTCTTCCAACAGTCTGCCTTTGGACTAGAACTGTAAAACTTCTATGGCTCTCCAGCTCGGCAGCCTACCCCATCAGATTTTGGATACACTAGGATTCCATAATCATGTGAGCCCAATTTCTTAAAATCTTTCTCTCTCTGGGGTGTAGAGAAAAGGGAACCCTCCTACATTGTTGGTGGGAGTGTAAACTGATGCAGTCACTATGGAAAACAGTATGGAGGTTCCTCAAAAAAACTAAAAATAGAGTTGCCGTATGATCCTGCAATCCCACTCCTGGGCATATATCTGGGACATAGAGAACAGACTTGTGGTTGCTAAGGGGGAGAGGGTGGGGGAGGGATGGATTGGGAGTTTGGGATTAGCAGATGGAAACTTTTATATATAGAAGGAATAAACAACAAAGACTGTATAGCACAGGGAACTATATTCAGTATCCTGTGATAAACCATAATGGAAAAGAATATGAAAAAGAATGTGTATATATATATATATATATATATATATATATATATATATATATGTATGTATAACTGAATCACTTCGCTGTACAGTAGAAATTAATACAGCATTGTAAATCAACTATACTTCAATAAAATAAATATTTAAACATTCTTTATAGATAGGTAGATAGATATATTTGGATAGATCTATAGATATAGATATATTTTTATTTTATATGTAAAGATATATATTTATATAATATATATATTAATTATATATATAGACAGATAGATATAGATACAGTAGATAGATATAGATAGATACATATTTTATGTATATCTATAGATAGAGAGAAATTGAGAAATACACATTCTGGTGGTTCTGTTTATCTGGAGATCCCTAACACACTACCCAACAGTTATTGTGAGGATTAAATAAGACATTGCATTTAGTCTTCAGAGTGCCCCAAATATGAACTAGTGCTAGATAAATGACTGCTGTTGTCTATGAAGTGTCTAATCTTGTCCCTATAGCCTTGATCCCAAAGGCTATGCTTCTTTTACGCCAGATTTACTCCCTATTTGAACCAGAAACCCAGGCATCCAGGTACCTCCTGGACACCTCCCTTCATTCACCCCTTCTCAGCTCCCAACATGTTGTTAGAAAGAAAAATGAGCTTCAGCTCTATGACAATTACCAGATACTCAACACTATTATGGCTCAATATTAGTATCTCATTTTCTTGATAACTGACCTGTTTGAATATATGCTTTGAGCCACCTTCTGAATTAAGTTGGACCTCCAAGTTGTTTATGAGTTGATCCATATCTGGAAAAGAATCAAGGGAAAGATAATTTAAAAATAAAATCTAACCCACTATACGCATACAGTATGCCATTTACGCCTGGTTACTCCTGTTTGTATTCTATGAACATTATTTTTCAGGACTTACTAGATACTGAGAAGTCAGTATTTGGACAACACTCTAATTTACATATTCTACTCACCAAGATAGCTCTGACTGGTCCCCAGCAATACTAGCTGCCTACTCCCCTCACATCCTGTATGCACGTGAATCTGTTTCTTCCAACCTGTCCAACTAGTACTACCTTCACAGGAATATCATCATAGCTACATAGTTTCCAGAATCCTCCCCTTCCTGGCCTAGTTCTCATTCTAAAGAGTTCCATGCTCCTGTGTGGATATTTACCCTAATGAACTTGCTTACACATCAGCGCTGAATCTCTCTAAAGAAACATTTTATCTTCCTACTTCTCTTAAACATACAAGCCAAGTGGGGTTAATATAAGCAATTTTTAATTTCCTTTTTAGATACTTTTTCCTCTTTTTTATTTTGTTTTTATTTTCTGTTTTTTAGTGTTTTTTTAATTGAAGTATAGTTCATTTACAATGTCATGTTAGTTTCAGGTGTACAGCATAGTGATTCAGTTCTCTCTCTCTCTCTCTATCCATATATATATATATATATATATATATATATATATATATATATATAGTCAACTAAAACAATACTCACAACCTAAAAGTTGAGAGTTACGCTTTATTTGGCAGGAAATTTTAGAACTTCAAGCCCAGGAGGCAGCATCTCAAGTAACCCTGAGAGAACTGCTCTGAGGAGGTGAGGGAGGAGCTAGGATATATAGGAGCTTTGCAACAAAGGGCAGGTAGTTGGAACATCAAAAGATTACTGTTAATTAAAGAAAACCAGAAATCCCAAGTTAAGGAAATGATTGTGATGGCATAGAGCAGTTGAATGAAGCCACCAAGTGTTTACTTTTTCCTCTTATGAAAGTAAACACTTGGTGGCTTCATTCAGCTGCCCTACACCATCACAATCATTTCCATCATTAGTACCTACCAGCACCTCTTCAACCAGATTTCCTTTGATTTATCTACATTCATCAGAGACGAAAACATTGGGTAAGAAAGATGAATTCATAGCTTGCTTTTGACTTAATTGGTCAGATTTCAGATTACACTGTCTCCAAGTCAATTACAATTAGTTTCCTCATTTATGACTTGGTTGCATTTCAAAAGACAGTCCATAAATCAGTTAATTGTTTTGGATGTCAACTACATTTACCCATAGAAATGTTCATTTTACAGGTCACTTCACAATATCCTTTTTAAGACCTAATGCAGTTAAAATACAGCAAATGAACAACCTGCAAGGATACAAATTATAATACAGTCACACAAAAAAGTAAAAGATAAACTTATAAATAACTCCTTTATTTATTAACTGTCAGGAAATGAGGAAACCAGTTCTAATGAGATAGGCAATAACACACAATGAATCTGCTATTAAGATTATGAGGAAAATTTCTGAGCCACAATCAAAGAATTTGCAGAATTCTGACACTCTAAAATATCTCCAATTTTATCTCAAAACACAATTTCTTTTCTTCGATCTAAGTATATGAGTAGAACTGCTCACATATACATTCATCATTCACTAAATATTTATGCATATTACTATGTGTCAGAGTTTATACTAGGCACATTGTTATCAGTTTTAGATCTGGGTCAACCAGACATGGAGAGTCAGCAAGTATAGCAGAGAGCACTGACCCGGGAGTTAGATGCCCAGGAATTATATCTTATAATCTTTGTCAAGGCATTTTTTTTCTAAGCCTCAACTTAAAATTAAAAGATTTAAAATTGTTCTCTGCAGAGTCCTAAGGCTTCTATGAAGCCTTTTTAGGGGTAGGGGTTGGGGTTAATGAAGGAAGAAGCATAGTAAGGCATAAGCACACTAGAAGTCAGATGCAGAAAACTCTAATTTCCATTAGACTGTAAGCTCTTTGAAGTCAGAGATTTTCATCTTTGATTGTTTTTTCAGTGATGTATTTCAAGGGCTTAGAATAGTGTCTGGCACATGGTAGGTGTTCAATACATTTCTGAAAGTTTTTGATGAATGACAGAAAAGGAAAATGAAGTGTGTTTTCTCAAGTACAGGAGTTGGACAAGAGTGGGAAAGAATAAAAGAAAATTAGAGAGGTTATGTATGAGAGATGTTTGAAGTGTAATTAACTGTGAAGTATGAGATGCCAGAGAGGGCAGCCTTTTCTGATTTTAAGAAGGAGGGGAGGGGACTTCCCTGGTGGTGGTTCAGTGGTTAACTTGGTTAACTTGGTGGTTCCAATGCAGGGGACGTGGGTTCAACTAAGCCTTGTTATTTCTAGCCAGGACAACTTACAAGAGCCCTCACTTACAAGAGCCCTCTTCTATGGGAACATATGTTTATGTATGACTGATTCACTTTGTTATAAAGCAGAAACTAACACACCATTGTAAAGCAATTATACCCCAATAAAGATGTTAAAAAAAAAAAAGAGCCCTCTTCTATCTGGTCTTCCTCAATTCCTATGGATTATGAAACAACAGGGTTGAGGAAGCAGAGTGACTTTGACAAGATGTTTAGCCCCTGTGAACCTCAGTTTCTCTACCTGAGTAGAGGTAGGGGAAATGACATTGATTTCATAGGGTAAATGTAAGGATTCTATGGATTAGTACATGTAAACTCACTTAAAATAGTTCTTGGCATATAAAAAGTTTTCAATATAATTAGCTATTGTTATCATCACCACAATTATTATTGTTGATGGCCAGAATCTCTCTTTCTCTCTGGCCCAGAAGAATAGCTCCTAGGAATCAGACAGGTTGTTTATACTCAACGTGCTTACAAACCTTCTCCACCTCCTATATTTACAATCTAAATTGTTTAGCACCACTATCAACACATTCTCAGTCTCAGTGACTGAGGGTCAGTCACCTTTGACCCTTCTCTCTCCATCTCCAGCCAATTGGTTATCAGCAGCATAAATTCTACTTCAGAAGTATCTCTTAAACCTAGACCTTCAACTTGCAGCCACTTCCCCTTCTAGTCCATATATCACATTGCCTAGGGTCATATCCTGGTTCTGCAACTTCTTAACAATAAGACTTTGGGCAAGTTTTCCTTTGTTCCCTTAACTGTAAAATGGGAATAATAATAGTACCAGCTCATAGGATTTATCAATTTAATATGTGTTCAAATGTTTAAAACAGTACCTGGCACACAGGCATTGTCTGTTTCCCTTACCATAAGGTGAGCCCCACAATAGTTACCTCGTCTTGTTCTTCTCTGTATCCCTTTCTTTTAGCAGAGTACTTCCTCTATACAATGTGCTAATGTCCAGTGAATGAATGATCATGGGAATAAGAGTGGTTATTTAATGGCAAAATATTATAATATAAAATAATATTATTTAATAGCAATAATCAAGGAGTCTGAAAAATACTTTTTGTCCCACCCATATCACAAATATTTTAGTCAAATTGCACAAGGAGGATAGCTGACAATCAGGAATGTCTCAGCCATTTCTGGTTAACGTACTCTCCATAGAACAGCCAAATGGAATAGCCATTAGATAACCCAGGATAACACTTTAAATGTTGGTAAAAAATGAGTAAAGGGAAAGCTATCAGGAAGGTGTATAAGCTTCTCTTTTTTTTAAAAAAATGTTTACTTTAATATTTTGCCAGACAAAATGTAAAACAGAAGGAAATTAGGGCTTACAGAACAGTTAAAGAAAGTTCAGGGATTTTTTTAAAGGGCTTTATAAACCTTTCGCTTTTCTCTAGAGTTGGAGTTGCTATTCTAAGTGTCTGAGACTAGACAGCTGCTCAGAAACTGTGAGATAATTGGTCAGGAAATACCCAAACGGGGTTAGGGTATGTCCTGGGCCACTGAGATGTGAATCACACAGGCAGGAGAGCTTCAGAAATGCAAGTTACCTACTTAAGATAATAACCATTATTCTGCTTGAATTGGCTTTTCAAGCCTTTGTGTCTAGAAGCTGGACTTTCTTGGACTTTCCTGGCAGTCTAGTGGTTAAGCCTCCGTGCTTCCATTGCAGGGCGGTGGTGGTAGTGGGGCCACGGGGTTCAATCCCTGGTTGGGGAACTAAGATCCCACGTGCCGAGTGGCACTGCCAAAAAAACCCAGAAAAGGTCTAGAAGCTGGACTTTTTGGTCCTTCTTCTAAGGAAGGGAGTACTGGAGGAGGAAATAAAGGAGGCGAGAGCGAGGAGGACTGAGCCCTATCCACAGCAGGTCAACATCTCATATATGTAGAACCTCACAAACGATGCTTCAGGGACCATGACCATAGAAATTTCATAAGATTATACTACCTTTGTCATGTTCGAAGTTTATTTTGTTACCCACTGTTTTCCACAGTGATCTGCTTGTTTTATGAAAGTGAACAGTGCCTCCAAGGGACAGGAGCAGGTGACTGACTAGTAAGAACACATCCCACTCTTTGGCCAGCACTGAGGAGGAAAAAAGTGTCTAGGGATGAAGTGAGAAGTTAAGCCTATAAGGAGGGAAGCAGAGCAGAGTGACTGGAGCCTACAACTATCAATACAAAAGAAAACAAAGCTTTGGGAATCCTGACACTGACCTATGAAGGTACCTAGTACTTAACAAGACAGAGCATGTTGACAATACAAATAATAATCCCTCATGTGCATCTACATAGCTTTACAATAGGGAAATGGACAGCTTTCATATATCATTCCCATTTTACAGATAATGAATTTGGAGGACCAAGGTCACATATTTTAGCAGTGATGGAGTCAGAACCGGAACTCTTATCCTCTAACTCAAATTACAGTGCTCCTAAAATACTTTCTAATATCCCAAATCTGGTGAGCACCTTATTTCTAGAAAACTGCTTGCTAAAAGAAAAACAAGTTTAAGGACAACAAGTCAATTATTTTGGAAGATCTTGAGAAATCATGCACTTTCAGCCTCTGACCCAT